GGTGTCTCCCGTGGACAGGCAGAGCGTGGGGTGGCCTGGGGAGCCCGTCTGCTCCGAGTCCACCACCCTCAGCTCCTGGAAGCTCAGTCCTGGGGCGTAGCTGAACGGCTGCTGCTGGGAATGGCTTTTGGTGGGGATGGAGACATTGTCCATCGGGTGGTAACCGCTGGCGGCCTCTTCCTCCTCCGGGGGGGCACTGGGCACCACGGCAGGGGGTATGTGCTGGATGGAGCGGGAGGGGCTCAGGGGCACCCTGTTCACTGCAATGTTTCCAATGTAGATGGGGAGAGTGACTGAAACCTCGGGTGACTTGAGAGAAACCTGGAAGAAAAGGACAAACAGTGGCATCTTCTTCATCCTATGTTGCACTGGGAAGGTTCACCTGATGCAAGGACCACCCCCACCAGGCAGCTCTGGAGCTCAAGCCACGGAGCTCAAGCACAGAAGCTGCAGCTCAGCCCAGTGGAGCTCCCCAGGAGGCACAGGTGTGCTCACCTGGATGTAGTAGTCGATGTGTATGAGGCTGCAGCCCTGCAGAATGGACTGGGGCAGTGCTGGAACCAGGATCTGCTCCCTCCACTCTGCATGTTTCCAGGCTTTCACTCCTGAGCCTTCCACCTCCGCGATGGTCCTCAGGTCGTAAATCCAGCGCTTGGATTTATAAGCCACTTTCTGCACAGACAGGAGAAAACACAGCTAGCAGAAAGATGGTCGTCTGCCACAAATGTAAGTCAGGACACAGAAACGCACAGCTGCTTTGTCAAATCAGCACAAACATAAGGTGTATCACAGAGCAGAAACACCCATCATGGCAGGGCAGACTGAGAAGCAACACAAATGCCTCTTGGCCCAGGAAGGTAGAGAGAAGCAGAGGCAGCCAGAGGTCTGGACTCCTCCCTGCCACCCCCAGCCCCACGCAGCAGAGATCCACACTGGTGAGAACTGCCCCAGTTTCAGAGAGGCCTCAGGAGGGTGGAGAACCAGCACAAGCCAAGGGATCACCCCCTGAGGTGCTCACCTGGAGCAGACTGGCCACCACTGCCCCAGTGTCCCGCCCAGATTTGTTCTCTATGTCGGTGCGGAGCTGGATGGCTTGTCCCACAATGTATCCCTTCAGATCCGAGGTGGCCGTCAAGATGATGTTGCCACTTTTCACAAGCTTGTAGTTGAACTTCTTGGCGATGGACATGGTGTTGGGCTGCTGCAGAAGAGCAGAGAGACAGAGGTGTTGGCTCAAGGGAGTCAGAAAAACTCCAGGAAAACGCTCAGAGGTTCAACATGAGCAAGCAGGAGTATCTGGTCTAAGAGGATATAAGGAACCAACAACACCAGCACTGCCACAGACAACAGGTCTCAAGTCCCCATCCCCCCAGTTCTGCTGTCCTGTTGTTCACTCTTCCCTCCAAAGCAAGTTCCCCAAACCCAAGGCTCTACAGGCACCTGGTGCTATCGGCCAACACCTCTCTCTGCATGTAGAAAATTCACCTAAGTGTTTCAAAGCAACATGCAGAAGAGTCAAAAATCACTCCAAGCAGGGACTGATGGCAAGGCAGGACAGACCAAGAGTCCTTGTCCTGCTCTTGCCCAGTCAGGACATGCAGTCAGAGTTGTCCAGCCACACAGTTATTCCCCAGGACAAGGGCTGAAGCCTTGGCACTTCCCAGCCACATTCCTCCTTGTTCCTTACCTCGATGTCAGGGATGTCATTCAAGTTGAGAGGGCAGAGAACATAGAAGATCTTGTTGCATTTGTAGTCCTTGCAGAAACGAGGTGTGTCTATAACAGCTTTCACCTGATGGAGCACCTTGCCAAATGGGCCTTCAAATGATGTTGGAGCAGAGGCTGGAGTTGAGAGAGAGAAAAAAAAAAAGGATCATAAGGCTCAGTCAGGCCAAGTGTTTCCAAGTACAATCCCTTTAAACAGCCTTCCTCTTCACCTGAGGAGCTCTGCAATACCCAGAGACAGAGCACACCAGGATTCACCCAAAAAAACCCCTGAGGCTGGACACTTAGGTCACTCAGAGACCTTTCTGCAGCCTCCTTACAGAAGGGATCCTGTGCAAGCCGAGGAGCAAGAGCAGAGACCCTCTGAGAGCCCCATGAGTGGGATGGAGGCCAGGACCCCTGCACACACCCAGAGCTGCAGAGCCACGCTTGGAGAGGCACCAGTGACAGCTCAGACCCAACTTTGCACGGAGGCAGAAGGTACCTGCTTGTCTAAGCTCCCCTGCTGTCTGTGGCTGAGGTCACCCTCCCTCTAGTGCCTCCAGGCCAAGCTGCCAGCCTGCCTCTGCCACCCAGCCCTGCTCAGCACAGCTCCAGAGGCTGCAAAGGCCAAGGCTCACATGGAAGGGCCCTCAGCCACTTCTCTGCATCATACCTGGCAGCAGGAACTGGAAGGGAAAGTTGTGCTCTCCAGCTGTCAGGACCCCTGTGGGAAACAAGAGCAAAAGGTAAGTGGGACAGAACATGGCCTTGGAATGGTGTGATCTTCTGGAGAGAGAGGGCACCAGCTGGGGAACAACAGCTGCCAACAGGACAGTGGGCAACTCTAGATCCAATGAGTGGTGCTTGAGTCACCAGGAGCATCTGCTGCCACCAACCCTTCCTTGGGACAGATGCCTCCATTCCCAATGACTGGTTCTATGTTAGGATACCCTGGAAATCAGGTGGTTTGGGGCAAGGTTTAAGAGATCTATTGCCATAGCAAGTGTTTAGCCCTGGCCTACTGACACAGGGCATGGGGAAGGGATGCTGGGTGTTTATCACCCCTCAAGGAAGCTACAGCAAGTCGGGGGGAATGCACAGAGGGTGGCAGGGAGGTCTGGTGGGCATTGAGCTGCTATAGAATCAGAGAATGGTTTGTGCTGGGAGGGACATTAAAGATCATGCAGTTCCAAGCCCTCTTGAACACTTCCAGGGATGGGGCATCTACAACTTCCCTGGGCAACTTGGCCATAGTCTCACCCACACACCAACCCCCCCGCAGACTGCACAGTGTTCAGGAGCTGGAACCACAAGTCCCATCTCCCCAGGCCTAAATCCACCCCTGGTCCTATGAAGGCACCAAAAATACCTCAGCCCAGCTGCTTAGACAACAGGAGCTGAGGAAAACATTTCCACAACATTAAAACCTGAACACTGTTGGGTTTTTTCCCAACCATGTCCCACTGCAACAGCAGCCTTGAGGATGCAGGTCCAAGCCAAGACTCAGCACACAGCAGAACAGCAGCTACAGACTCAAGACTCCCCAGCCCAAGAAAGAAAAGCTCTGAGCTTTACCCCCATTTGTTAAATACATGTAAACAGGAGAGGTTTTGGTTTTAAGGTAGCAGTACTAGAAGGAGACCTGTTAAAATCAAGCTGTGTTAATTCTGCTTTGCAGGATCCCTGCTGGAGGTACCAAGGCTCTTCTGCTGAGGCAAGGAGGAGGCAGCTTGTCCCTTAGCAGGGGCTCCACAGGGCTGACAGTGAGTCCTGTCCTCAGGGGATTAAGTGACAGGGGGAGGTGGGGAAGAGGGAAGGGTAAATCCCTCCTGCTGACACTGTGACCCAGGTGGCAGCAGGGGAGGTGGCACTTGACTCGGTGCATCCTTCGCAGGATGAAAAGCCCCTCCACTGGCTCAGCCACCCCACGGGGACCGAGGGACCCCCCAGATGGCAGGCACCCCCCCCTGCAGCACCCAGGCAGGCACAGGGAATGACAGGACAAGCTTCCCATCGCATATGGCTGCAAGGGCAAGTCAGGAGAAAACAGACCCGTCTGACAATACCGTTTGTCCTCACACAGAGCAGCGGGACTCCCGGTTCCCATCACCCCACCCAGAACACTCCCCGGCCCCCCAACACGGCTCAGCTGTCCAGGCTAAAATGCAACACCGGGTCTTGTCACCAGGTGGAGGCACAAAGCCAGTCCCTGCAGAGCCAGTGCCTGCAGAGCTGGGGCAGGCACTGAGCTGGGGGCAGCTTCTGCTCCTGGGGAGCTCCGCTGGGTTAAAGGCAGTAGCTTGAGATGCAGCAGCTGCCTCTGCTTGCTGGGTAAGGGGTAAAGCCTGGTTAGCACAAATGACTCAACTCGCCCAGTGCTTGTTTGCTGCTCCAAGGGTTTCTGCCTTTCACTAGGCACCAGTCCACGTTGATCCCTACTTTTGGAAAGTGAATCAATGGACCAGAATACATCAGCTCTCTTGTGCAGGGGACCTGCTCCACCTGAAAGGAGAGGATGCAAGTCCTGTCACTGCAATGCTGAAGGGAGCTGGGAGTCCCAGGGCATGATGGCCAGAGTTTCCACCAAGGCCTGGAGACTTTCCAGCTGTCTGACTAAAAGAGCCCCACATAGTGATTCCAACTCTGCTGCCAAGAGCCTGAAACTTCACAGCCTTTCCAGGACCTTTAGGAAGAGCTCACAGGCCCCACAAGGTTAACATCCCAGGTGGCATGATCCAGTAGGTCACTGCAGTCAAGGTCTTGCTCAGCTCATATGCACCAAAAGAGAGTCAGGCTGGAAGTGAACCTGTCAGCATGTTCAGGTAAAATCTGGCTGGATGACCAGGCCCAGAGAGTGGGGGTGAATGGGGCTGCACCCAGTTGGCATCTGCTTACCAGTGGTTACCAGGGATCAGTACTGGGCCCAGTCCTATTCAATGTCTTTAGTGATGACCTGGATGAGGGGATCACAGAATCACAAAATTATTGAGGCTGGAAAGACCTCTGAGATCATCAAGCCCAGCCTATGACCAACACCCCACACCTCCAGACCCTGGCACCAAGTGCCACCTCCAGCCTTTCCTGGAACACCCCCAGGGATGGTGCCTCCACCCCTTCCCTGGACAGTCCATTCCAGTGTCTGATCATCCTTTCCATGAGGAAGTGCTTCCTGATATCCAACCTAAACCCCTCCTGGTGCAGCTTGAGGCACATGCCTTGGACAGACCCCTGGACCGTGCCAGGGCAGACAGGGCACCCTGCAGTGCACACAGAGCTGCTCTGCCCACCGGCTGCATCCGCCGTACGGCACCCGCATCCAAGCAGCAACAGGGACACAAAGCCCATGGGAAACCACTCACTGCCCCTGTCCCTCCAGCCCTGAGAGCTTCCAGTAAAGATCCAGGACATTCAATGTGGTAATTCCACCTGCAAGTTAACTTTGCATTACAGACAGCTGTGGGCAGCTGGCACAGATGAGAAGGTTTCCTCAACACCCCAACACGTAGATCCCCAGGAGGAGCAGCCCTTCCTGAAAGCTCCTTTCTGAGCTGCTCCTCAACCAGAAGCTTTGCTGAAGCAACCTGTAGACTGTGCAGGAGCAGAGCAGGTCAGCAGGAGTTCAGCATGGCTGAGGGGTCTCTGAGAGGCCCCTGCAGTTCTCGTAAACCCCCTGCACAGGGAACGGGCTGCACCAGCCGCCGCGCTGCGCCGTCACTTCCCCATTCCCAGAAGCCTGAACAAAGGCCACAGTGTGCTCGGCTACAAAAAGCTTTTCCTGAAGTTTATGTGCAGCTAAAAATACCTTGAGAAAGTCATTAGGCAGCAGAGGTGGCTGGATTAGCAGGGTTGTGCTGTGGGGCTGTACCTGCAGCAGCCTTTGCTCCTGATGGGAGCTGAGCCAGCAGGGATTGGCCACCCCCACACAGCCTCTGGAAACATCCTCCCTAAAAAAATTCCTGGAGGGGAAGAAGCCACTGCCCTAGACAGCCTAGAAGAAAAACAAACCCAGACAGCAGGAGCAGCAACAACACGCTAACAGCACGGAAGAGCTGCCTCACACTGCAGAGCAGAGTGACCTTGGAGATTTCCTCGAATCCAGCAGAGACGTGTCTAGAAGCTGATGGACCCCCCAGCTCAGGGCTCAGCTGCTTCCCTTGCTCCACACAGGGCCAGGGGTCATTCACCTGAACCAGAAAGTGTGGAGGAGGCCTGGGAAACCTCATCAGAAAGGAAATACCTTGATCCAGGGGCTTCCTGGGGGTGACCTCCCCTGCAAAGCATCTCCAGTAATGGGGAGGGCAGCCCAGCCCAGCAGGACACAAGAGACCTTGTGGCTGCAGCCCCGTCCCACCACCTTCAATATCTGTGGTCACACTGATGTGCAGTGGAGGGACAGAAATCAATGGGTTTCCCATGCAAAGCTGGGGCTGACCATGCCCCTGAGCCCACTCAGCTGCTGGACACACTGTCCTCTCCTCGCAGTCAGCTCTACTTTGATCCACTGAGGTTTCCCTGCTCTCCCTGCAAACCAGACCACAGCTGGTTTTCCCAGACACATGGGAAAACAGGACACCATCACACCCCTGTGAGGGAGAAGTGACCACACATCTGTATTTTTCCACTGCTAAACAAATGATTCAGGTCGAGCTCACTCTGCCACAGCTCAGGTGCTGAAAGGGTTTGGATTCTTTCCTGAGCAGCTTCCCTGGCTGGTGCTGCCAGGTCCCTGCCCGGGTGGAGCCAGCAGCCAGAGGAAGTCACCAGCCCTTCAACACCATCCATCATCCCTCCGAGAGCAGGGGAAGCTGCCTGCCCACACCCTGCCCTGCCAGCAGCCAGCAGAGGGCTGGGAAAGGTCCTCTGGCAGCCTCTGTCCTGGTATGAGATCAGGGCAGGGCTGGGATTTAGGGGGAACCAACCACACACCAACAAGGACACCAAGCCCTACCTGCTGCATCCCAGCAGGGCTGCCCTGTTCTGCAGCTTTCTTGGTTAGTGGCCCATGCAAACAGGCCAGGCTCACAGTACCAGTGGGACCAGACCTGCCTGGGCTGCATGTCTGAACCAGTGCCACCCCAGGGAGACCTGCCAAACACCTCTTCCCAGCTCAGCTCCCACAGCCCCTCCATCCCCAGGGACCTGGAAGCTGCAGTCACAGCCATCTCTCCACAGAGACACCACCCCTATGACAAACCCAGGCCCTCCAGGTTGGTGCCAGAGGAAGAGAAGCCAGAGAGAGCTGGGAGATGACTTGGTCACTGATACACACACACGACAGACTCAGCTGAGCCTTGTTCTGACTCCCCTGGTGAAACCTCTCGCCCTGCTGGGCCAGGAGAGGCTGCCAGAGCACACAGCAGCTGCACAGCACACCCCTCTGCCCCTCCAGGCTCCATCCGTGCCAGGACCAGGGAGAAAAAGATGAATATTCTGCATATTGCTCCCTCCACCCTTCAAAGAGGAGGGTGCTATCTCATCGAATCATAGAATGGTTTGGGTTGGAAGGGACCTTAAAGATCATCAGGATCCAACCTCCCTGCCATGGGCAGGGACACCTCCCACCAGACCAGGCTGCACAAGCCTCATCCAACCTGCCCTTGAACACCTCCAGGGACAGGGCATCAAAAAACCTCCCTGGGCAACCTATTCCACTGCCTTCCTACCTTCATGGGGAAGAATTTCTTCCTAACATCTAACCTAAATCCCCTCTCTTTCAGTTTAAAA